AATTTATGAATTAATATTAAATATTATGATATTATAAATAATATTTTAATGGTTTTCGAATTATTTCTACAGTGAGGTACATAATAAGTACGTAMCTGGTACCAGTGGTATCTATATTACAGGTACAACACAATATGTTACAGCAGYTGAAATCTATAGATTGATTATATAATATTAATAGTTATAGYACATGAGGTCAGCTACAATTTTTCCAAACATTTATTCGTAGGTATACCAGCCATTGTTAAATCAGTTGCGTACTATCTTTTTTCAAAATATGTATGTTATAATATTATAWAGATGACGTGTGTTTTGTACRGCCGCGCGTAATTATTATGGCGACTGGCGATTCGAATCCATTTTCGGCATGCGTAGTCATCATATAATGTGAGAACGCGCACTATAACTACAGCAGGCCTCAATATAGACAAAATAATACAAATCGCCTGTTGAATCAGAAACGATATTATTACGATATCGGCGGCGCAGCGTCCAGTTTAGAGTGTTTACACCCGACCATAGCGCAGAACACTATGCCTAYATTAATAATATATAGTAGATAGAGCAAAACAAATTACAACAAATAAATATAAATAAAAAAATCTTAMTACTTATAATATGTATTTTGTTTTCGTAAACAGGTGCTGTAAATAATAACAATAWTTTTTTTACTGCAGATGCTGCAGTCATCATCGAAGCTTCCTGTGCCACTGCATATAAAGTAATTTGTGAATCGGTACCTACCTATATAATATGAAGGGCCGGGGATGTTGAAAATTCGGAATTCTCGCGAACGGCTTTGTACAATATAATATTATTCACTTCTGCCACCGAAGAGGTATTATTGATAATAATAATAATAATAATATGAACGTATAAACGCGAAAAACTTTAACAGATAAACGGCATCGCGCGTTATTTACACACTATTGAACGCGTCGAGACGTCGTTTTAACACATTATGCGCGCGCCCATTGTACTCGCGCACCCGGCGACGTGATATCGCGTATTATATACACGATAATAACAATAATAATAATAATATTATGTTTGTAATGTTTGTATACGGAGAAGAGGAAGAAGAAGAAGAAGAAAAAGACGACCGGCAGCAGCAGCAGATGATGATCGTCGTCGCAAGTCCTTTTCCTCTGCACATAATAATAATAATAACGACGGTGACTATATATCTACTATGTTTGCACACAAAACGACGTGTGCGCGTGTTTACACGCGTATTATAATATATYATTATTATTGTAATATACCGCTACCGATGCCGTTTGTCGCGAGCGTCAGTGTGTGTGTGTAGGTGTGATTATATTCGTTTGTACCTATATAATATAATGTGATATATTACAACAATATTATGCGAGTGCAGTGTGTGTGACTCCTCTCGACGGCGCGGRCCACAATGACTCGTTGATGATGCGCTCACTGATCCGTGTGTGTAAACAGTCTTATATACATCGTGGGGTGGATATYATATATTATGTATATTATATGATGTGATGCTGTGAGCGTATATTTACGACAATGGCTTGAAATACGTTTTACCCGGCCATAATAATACGACGAATGGGTAGGTAACTAGGTACTCATTCGTAAACTCAGGTCGTCGATTATCGGAATTGCTACAGTAGTAGTAGCAGTAGTGGTGGTGGTGGTGGTGTAGTACCTTTAGCGCGTATATTGACATTTAGCATTGTAATGTTATTTGTGTTATTTGTGTACACACGATAACGACTCGACGACGACGCTGTGATTTATCGGGACCCGTGAAACATAACATAATATAGAATAACAACGCGAAATCCCTCCTCCGAGACGCTTCTCAAAACGAGTGAGGCCAAAGGAAAAAAAATCGAATCGCTATATAAATAATATCATATACAAATGTACAATTGTACCTCCTAATGGCATGGTCGGAACGATAATCGGTTATTACGCGGGGTTCTTTCGAGGTGGATTTTTTTTCTGCACGACCGTCGTCTTCGACTGCATCGCGACGGTGACCAATCGCGCGTACAACTTACTAATGACTACTACAGCATCACTACCTCCAGAGTTAGAATAATTTGAATTTTCGGCATGCGTTTTACTATCATATATTATATTATACGCTATTGTTATTATGATTTCAATGCGCTAGTGACCGATTTACATAATATATAACGACTATAGATACGATCGTGCCGAGAGGACACGATTGATAGCGATCTATCGCGCCACTTATAACACGCGCGTATTGGTTTACACATTTTTTGTCTGAGTAATTAAATCGTACACGTCTATTATAATAGTTGTAAAACGAACGGTAAGGTGTCTGATGTAATACCTATATACACTAAATTATGCAGTGTACCCAGTAGCCGTGTATTTATACACAGTACTATTATATACACACATAATAATATTATAGACGATGGCCCGCGGAAAATAATATTATTTATAGGAAACAAAAATAAAACGACTTAAATTTATACCGCCTTGCGAGATAAAACCACGACCCATATATCCCTTAATAATGTATTTATTCAAATTATTCTGATTTTTAGGAATTTATATGTATATTCTTAAAGTTAATGTTTTCAAAATATGATCAGATTTTCATAGAATTTAAGTTGTGTTCTGTAGTGGTACATATTTTTATATATTTTTTTTTTAACGAAACCCACTTTTTTGCTGTAATTTACACATCACATGTTTTTAATATTTTGATGCGTTTAAATCAATGTTTAAACTAGTACCTACCTATATATACCTAATTGATTGGTTACGTATTTAACTTAATGTGCTATAATGATTAGACTATTCATCCTTTGTAATATAGTTTTACATAAAATATAAAATATTTGTATTGTTTGTTGCTTTTATAAAATGTAAGATTTTGAGCTAATATAATAATATAACTGATTTATATTTAAAAAATTAACCATAACTTTGAGATGACTATAGCGCCTTTATATATTTAACCTATTATTATTATTATTATTATTATGATAACTGTTAATCAGAAAGTTGTAAAGTGCAGCTCGATCAATTTTTGACTATTTTAAGTAGGTATTAGCATGTTCATAAAAATATTTGCATTATTCAATTATTCCAATAAAATAAAAAGTGATTTTCATTTATAAAAGTTTGTAGGACCAAAGGATAGGTTTTTAAACGGAACCTACAGCAAATCTAATTAATTTAAAAATGAAAACATAACGATTAAATTTGAATGAATTTAATAAATTAAATATGCATTTGGCGGTGACATGGTTGGTGAATCACCCAACGTATATAATATAACGTGCCGTACACCCATCGAATAGAAACCATTAAAATACTTTAAAGATATGTATTACGTGCTCGTAATTTTGGCTTTCTTTGCGTCCTAAAAAACACAAACCGCCTAGTCATACAGTCTCCTTTTCTTCGCCGCCGCGACTCACCTAACCCGTGCGCCAGGCATTATATATTATTATTATACTCATATATAGTCATATACCAGTTTTCCACGACGAAATATTAATATTATTATACGTTTTACGTTTTTACGAGCGCTTGCACGATACTTTTCGGCATATATAGCTTTTGGCGAGACGGGATGCGCCGCTGGCACATTTAATTTGTTTCTTTCTGTGGCCAATAAAATATTATTAAATTTAACGCGCGAAGAGAGTGTTAAGGTTCGTACTTTGCCGGACCCGCGACGACGTCTTACCTATAATATAATATAACTTACTACACACACATTCGATATACGTAGTGTATAAGTATGATATATAGTAGTAATATACACCAACGAGCGTTTCCCCCGCGAATCGTTTCCACGTAGAACATGCTTAAACGTTCCATTATTTTGTAATACGAGTGTTATAAACTCTCTCACACACACACATACACACACAGAGCGTATAGCAACTGGTTCCGAGAGGAATCGTGACCGATACAGCGCGAGAGATTTACACGGGCGGCCGAATATTTATATTGTGCTTGTTGCCGCCGCTGTCCAACAACAGCTGGTGCACAATAATAATAATATAGGTACTCGTGTATATATTGCATATATACGCAATAATAATGCAGCGTATGCATTTTCAYTCGGCGGGATGGCAATTTTTATTTTTAACGACAGAATAACTATATAGTGAGAAAGAACTTAAAAACGAAAAAACACTGTCATCGTCGTCGTCGTCGCAGAGAATATGCGTGGCGTATAATAATATAATATTATATATTCCTCCGTTTACATATATATGTATATATTATTATAATAATACACCGCCGAGCTGTTATGAAAACTGGCTTTTGTGTTATGACCATGTTAAGTGTCGGACCGGAAGGAAACGCGCACCACAGGAAGAGATGAGGGGCTCCCGAGAGATGACCGCATCCTTTAGTGTAAGGGGATCGTTATCGGCCGCACTATACGCGCGTATACGACGGTGAGGGTCGCGCGCGTTTATCTGGTCCGAGAAGGGTTCGCGCCGGAGAAAAGGTCTTATCTCTCTTGTGTACTGCGGCACCCTCGTTTTACGATTCCGCAAAGAATTTCACTGGTTTTATTCAAATGGCCTAAATGCCCGCTGCTCGTTTCGGAGGGGTTACAGGACACGGGGTCGTCGAGATTTCTAAGCGGCAGCCTCGATGGTCTCGGAACAAAGTGTCTATATTATAATATACGCATATTACGCAAGCACGCGGACTGCGTATTCCGTGCGAGAGTTCGAATTAAGATTTTTGACGGCTCGATATGAGATAAAAATATTAATTATTGTACTTTTGTTTATGTTATAAACGACTAAGATAGGCATTAGGTATTTTCTTATCGAGGCCCTCAAAAAATCTTAAATCTTTTGCCCTGTGACCATGATCCCCTCTTGCCCCACTCCTCGGGCGCTTGATGTCGTGATTGACAGCATATACATAATACGATGCATTACAAATGAAAACAAAACCTAGGTATAAATAGGCTATAAAATAGGAATAATATAGTCCACAAACTTCTATCTACTAGTAGAGGCGCCAATAAGGTGTAATTAACGGCATAGCCTTCCTTCCAAAGCGAAGCAAAATGAATAAAAAGGAATAAGTAGGTAATATTTGAAATCTGTATAATACATTATTATGAACTGCAGTTGATTGACGACGTGCGCTAGTGATGATGGTGTTATATATATTATTATATTTAATATTTTTGTACTCGATTATTAAAATAGTAATACGACGATGATGTGATAATATCATAATCTTATTTCGACGAACGGTTTCGACTCGCGTTTTACTCGAAAATTGTCAGCTGCACGTCACGCGTCGTATATTGTAGGTACGCGTGTAAGTATATACAGCTATATAGTCTGCGGGACATGCGCCAAAGACGGACGAACAAGTCGAGTTCGTTATACGGCCGTCGGAGTGCGGTTTTCGATACAACATATTATAGCGGCGGTCGTGAATGGACCGAACACAAAAAAAAAATTACCACTAGGCACAGTGATTTAAAAAATAAAATAAAAATATATGTAGGTATAGAAAAGAAACGGTAGATT